CGTGGTGATGTCAGAGAAGGCTTAGTAGGAAGGCAAGACCTTCACCACCTACAGAGGTAACTACTAAAACCTCTCAACCATCATGTCAGTGGGGGCCACAATGGAGCAGTAATGAGGCCCTCCTCCCCATCCCAGGCAGAGTGGCCACATGAAAGGACTAAGGGGAGCCTAAACTACCACTCCCATTCAGCAATAATAAGGAACTCTTCTCACTCCTCCTCCAGGGGTATCAGCAGAGGCTGAGTCAGGAACCTGGATTTTTTTTTTTTTTTAAGATTTTATTTATTTATTTGACAGACAGAAATCACAAGTAGGCAGAGAGGCAGGCAGAGAGAGAGTGGGCAAGGCAGGCTCCCTGCTGAGCAGAGAACCCGATGCGGGGCTCGATCCCAGGACCCTGAGATCATGACCCGAGCTGAAGGCAGAGGCTTGAACCCACTGAGCCACCCAGGTGCCCCAGGAACCTGGATTTCTATCTGCACCTAACAGTAATGAATAGGCAACTCCTCTCCATTTACTAGGAGAGTGTCAAGGAGTCTGGCTAAAACAGAATACTTAAATAAGATCCAGAGTCTCATAACATAATATGAAAAATGTCCAGAGTAAAACTGAAAACCACTCATCATACCAAAATACCAATCTTCAGCTTTAAATGGAAAAAAACAAAAACCAAAAAACAAAATCAGCAGATGACAACATGGATGTTAAAATTATCTGGCAAATATGTAAAAGCAGCCATCACAAAAATGATTCAATGAGCATTTACAAACACATCTGAAATAAATGGAAAAAAAAAGTATCAAAAAAAAAAAAAAGTCCTCAAAGATATAAAAGATATGAAGAACTAAATGGAAATTCTGACATTTAAAACCAAAATAACAAACTTGATAGATGGGCTCAACAGTAGAATGGAGGGGACAGAGGAAATATCAGTGAGCCTAAAAAACAGAACAACAGAAATTACCCAACATGAACAGAGAAAACAGACTGGGAAAAAAAAAAAGAAAAAGAAAAAGAAAAAAAAAGAACAGAGCCTCAGGACCTGTGGGACTATAATAGAAGATCTAACATTAATGCCATTTAAATCTCAAGAGGAGAGGAGAAAAATGGCAGAGCCGAAAGAATATTAGAAGAAATAATGGCCAAAAATACCCCAAATTTGGCAAAAGACAAACATACAGATTCAAGAAGCTGATCAAACATCAAACAGGATAAACCCAAAGAAATCTATGCCAAAATACCTTACAGTCCAACTGAAACACATAGAAGACCAAAGACAAAGACAAACTCTTGAAAGCAGCCAGGGAGAAAAAGCATATTACCTGCATAGGAAAACAACTACAGTGAATTAAAAAACCATAAAGACCAGAAGGAAGTGACATACTTTTCATGTGCTGAAAAAAAAGGAGCTATCAATAAAGAATTCTGTATCCACTGAAAATATCCTTCAGGAATAAAGAAATCAAGATATTCTAAAATGTCTTGGAAAACTTGAAAAAGGAAAATTAAAAGAGTATATATGTCACTTATAGACCTACCCTAAAAGAACTACTGGTAAAAGGAGATTCTCTAAACATAAAGACAGTGATAAAAGAAGGAATCCAAAAATAACAGGAAGCAAAAAATGAATATGGAAAGAGCAAAAATATGGGTAAATACAATGAACTTAGTTTTCCCTTCTTTTCTAATTTTTTAAAACTGTGTTAGATTGCTGGAGCAAAAATTTTAACACTGATGTGGATCTCAACATACAAAGGAAAAATATATAAGACAATTATATTACAAAAGGCAGAGGGTGGGGCCCCTGTGTGGCTCAGTGGGTTGAGGCCTCTGCCTTCAGCTCAGGTCATGATCTCAGGGTCCTGGGATCGAGCCCCGCATCAGGCTCTCTGCTCAGCGGGGAGCCTGCTTCCTCTCTCTCTCTCTCTGCCTGCCTCTCTGACTACTTGTAATCTCTACCAAATAAATAAATAAAATCTTTAAAAAAAAAAAAAGGCAGAGGGTAAAGGGGTTTAAAAGAAGGTAAGGTTTCTACACTTTATTCTAACCAGTAAAATGGCAATACCAGTAGACTATAATAGTTACACATGTACAATGCAATACCTAAAACACCAAGAAATCATACCTAGAAAAACTATACAGAGAGATATACTACAGGTAGAAAAACAGTACACAAAAATCTAAATGGAATTCTAAAAATATATTCAGGGAACCCAGAGGAAAAAGAAAATAGGAAAAAAGGAGAGAACAGGGGCGCCAGGGTGGCTCAATGGGTTAAAGCCTCTGCCTTCTGCTCAGGTCATGATCCCAGGGTCTTGGGATCGAGCCCCACATTGGGCTCTCTGCTCAGCCGGGAGTCTGCATCCCCTCCCCTCTCTGCCTACTTAAAATCTCTGTCAAATAAACAAATAAAATCTTAAAAAAAAAAAAAAAAGAGAGAACAGAAAACAGACCAAAAAATGCCAGATTTAAGCTTAACACGTCCATAATTACATTAAAAGTAAATGCTATAAATTCACTAAATAAAAGAGATTGGCAGAGTGGATTTTAAAAAGTGACACCCAACTATATTCTCTCTGTAAGAAATTACACACGACTGGATGGATCTGATTGAAAAAAGCCTATCTCAAAAGGTCATATATGATAAGACTCCATTTACATAATGTTCTTGAAATGACAAAATTATAGATCTGGAAACAGATCAGAGGTTGCCAAAGGTTACAGATGTAGTGAGGGAAGGAGTGGGTGTGACTATAATAGTACGGTAGCATAAGGGAGATCTTTATGGTGACAGAACAGTTCTGTATCTTGATTGCGGCAGTTACCACAAATCTACAAATATGATAAAAGACATACAATATGTTGGACACTGCACAATATCAATTTCCTGGTTTTTAGATTTTATTACAGTTATATAAGATGTAACCACTGAGGTATACTGAATGAAAAGTACACAGGACCCCTCCCTACTTTGCAATTCCTATGATTATCTCAGAAGAAAAAGTTTAAAAAAATCAAACTGTCAGAGTTCAAATCCAGATTCTACTACTTCTGTATGGATTTGGGCTTCATGCATTGTTTTGTCATACAACAGTGTCTATACCAAGTTATGACAAGAAGTAATGCCTTAAAAGAGGTAACTATGGATATGTGCAGCAATGCAGATGAATCTCAAAAGCATTATCGTAAGTGAAAGAAGCCATCTGCAAAAGCCTACATATTACATGAATCTGTTCATATGACATTTTGGAAAAGGCAAAACTATGGGGCTAAAATCAGGTCATGGTTTCCTGGTGCTGACTGTAGGGAGAGAGGACTATACATATCTCTGATTAATGTCTCTAATAGAGTTTGGACTTCTGAAGTCACGCTAATATTCTACATATTAAAAAAAAAAAAAGTAAATAGCAAGGATGGGAGGGAGGAACCAATTTTTAAAAAGCTGGTAGGGGAGCAGAAGACATAGTGATGCAGATGTGTATTGAGAAGGCTCCTGTTTGGTTTCTGACCCCTCCTTCCCTGGCAGCGAGGCCTGGGGCTACTCCCCTCCCGAACCTTTCAGAGACCTTGTCTTAGGTTTAAACCCCATTAAACTGACTGTAAACAGACCAAACAAACCAATTATTTCAAATGTTATCATATAACCAAAGTGAGCAAGGAGGGAGTGGTGGAAGGGACTAATTCAAACACTTTCACTCTATGCTTTCAGTCTGGGGGGAAAAATATTACAAACAAATCTTGAGCTGTTTTTAGTAAGTAAATCCAAACTGAGAAACATTAAAAAAAAAAAAAAACACAAAACTGGTCATATTCTTCAAAAATCTCAATAACATGAAACATAAAGAAAAGCTAAAAATTATTACTGGTTAAGGAGATTAAAGAGACATATAAACTAAATGTAATACAATCTTAGACTGGATCCTTTCTTGCAGAGAAAAAACTACCTTAAAGGATATTATTGGGACAGTTGACAAAAGTAAATATAATAACTGTAGATTTAAGTATTAGAATATCAAAATTATACATTATACTTTTAGTGTAATATGTTAAGGTTCCTGAATTTGATAACTGTACTAGAATTATTTAAAAGAATATCCTTATTCATAGGAAATACACTAATACATTAATAAGGATCACACTGCATATATGCAACCTTCTTAAATAGAGTTCCAAAAAAATTAATATTAGATATATAATACATATAAATAAGTAAAGAGGGGGGTTAGAAAGAAGGAGAGAAGGAGAGAGAGAGAGGGAAAATGCCTCAAAGGAGCTGGGGCGTTCATAATAAGGATAAGAAATTAGAGACTGGAGCAGCAATAGGAGAGGAACACTTACCCCACCCTAAGGTTAAGTGGGCACGGTAGGAAACAGCCTCTAACTGAGAAGGCAGTAGAGGAAACAGTAACTCAGGGGATATTCAGATCATCAGTTAAGACAAAGAAAAAGCATTCAGAAGAAGTCAGGGACATCCAGTAGTTTGCTGATAACACAAGAAAAGTCTGGATGGAAGAGAAAAGCAGAGGATTTGGCTTGGAAATCTGTACTTCCAGAGAAGTTAGAAGATTAAAGTCTGAGATACAAAAAATGACTTGAGGGCAAAAGAGGTATTTTAAAGTAGGTAAGAATCGGTACTGGTACATCCCAAGGTAGCCATTTAGTTTTAGTCTCAGGGTTCCTAATGCTCAGCTCTGTGATTAAAATTTCAGTATCTCTAGAGGCCCACCACCAGGAAGGCTTTCCAACTCCATTCTGCCAGGGCATAAGCTATGCTTACCCAGGATCCTGTAACAGCCTACTGCCTATCTCTATCATTTAACCCACATTCAATACATAAAGTTGAATGAATTAATGACCTATCACAACCTGAGTAGACACGAGAAGACAAACTGGAAATCAACTTAATAAAAAGTTTCTGAAGTATATAAAATAAGGTGTTAAGAGTCAAAGCATACATGATGGAGATTTCCAACTGATTTTGGTAAAAGAAATATGCTTACTGTACAACAAGCTGCTGGCACACAGTTCCATTCTCTGTTATCAGTTCATTCAGTTTTAATTCAAGGTGAACTTTACCCTAAAATGAGAGAAGAAAAACGGTCTATTTTAGTGACCAAATACTAAAGGTAAGTACTTTTTCCAATGGTACCAACAATATCTAGTTGTTCACTAATTAAATTTTAGTGATCCCTAGCACATGGCTTTGCCCACATAAAGTACTTGTTAAATGACTAATAACCAACAGTGTAAATCTAGAAGTCAAATGCTTATATCAGACATGGTACTCCAATCAAAGAATTTAAAGGCCAGTTCAAAGAATATTTATGAATCTCAATTACCATGGCTTTAAAAAAAAATACTTATGTTTTAAGATTTAGCAGATTATAAAATGTAGAATGTTTTTCCCAGAAAAGATAAACCATCAATAAGAACAGAGGCAGTATCATTAAAGGTCAAGAGAAATACAATTCTAAAACAATAAAACTGGGTTAAAGCTAGTAAGATTTAATTTGTCAACAGTTCTCTGAAAATTAAAGATTCATGGAATATCTATAATATTTTAACAGGCACTATAGGACTGGCCAGGAATCAACAGATATATAAGACACAATCACTCCTTACAAGAAGCTCACAGTCTAGTTCAGGAGACAATAAATAAAGATAACACTATACAACCAAAAGCATTACTGAAAAAATGGGATACTGAAAATAAATAAGTGCTTTCTTCAATAACTATTAATAAATAGATTTTTTTAAAATTCAACAGTATAAATTTAAAGTAAACTATAAACTCATGAAACAAAGGTTTAGGAACAATATAATATAGAGCTTGATGTTTCCACCCAGCCACTGGCAATGAACATTTCTAAACTGGTTATGAGCAATTCTAAAGTGGTTAAGATCAGTCCTGGATTACCTCGACCCAGCTAACAAGACAAACTGCCACAGCGGAGATTTCAGGGCTGTGATGTCTAGGGGCTGATGATGTTAAGTAATTTGATCAGAGGTAAGAAAGTTCATTATCAAGTTACTGTTCGTCTTTGGAACAACCCCTTTTTAGACATTCTTTCACAGGCATCTAACTTGAATCAGCCTCACTATTTTATGGGGGTTTGCTCCATGAGAGTGAATCTGAGGTCCACTAACTACAAAGCTCAAGGTTAGATGGATACTAAGTGATGAACAATAAACACTGACTGATGGATCTCAATGCAAAAGTCTGCATGAGAAAGCTAAACTCTAAAGAAACAAAGGCAACAGTAGGAGTAAAACTGGCAGTTAGGTGGAACTGGAACTAAATCAAGCAAATTTTCCACTAAAAATCCAGGCATAAATATTTATAAAATCATATAAAATTTATGAAATAGGTCTTTCATTAATCCTGCTTTAAAACTCACTACCCCTGGGGCACCAGGGTGGCTCAGTGGGTTAAACCTCTGCCTTCGGCTCAGGTCATAATCTCAGGATCCTGGGATCAAGCCCCACATCGGGCTCTCTGCTAGCAGGGAGCCTGCTTCCCCCTCTCCCTCTGCCTGCTTCTCTGGCTACTTGTGATCTCTGTCAAATAAATAACTAAAATCTTAAAAAAAAAAAAAAATACAACCCCTGCTATTTAAGAGTGACCCAGAAGAGGTCCATGATATGTAGTAATTTTTCATATTTCTCAACTAGATTTTTGAATCATCTATGCTGTCAGGCCAGCATACATGTCACTTGCCTAGCGAATGAGCCTAGCCAACTGCATCAACATTTGAATCTCAAAGCAGTTTTACTTTTTTTTTTTTTTAAAGATTTTATTTATTTATTTGACAGACAGAGATCACAAGTAGGCAGAGAAGCAGGCAGAGAGAGATAGGAGGAAACAGACTCTCTGCTAAGCAGAGAGCCCGATGCGGGGCTCGATCCCAGGACCTGGGATCATGACCTGAGCTGAAGGCAGAGGCTTTAACCCACTGAGCCACCCAGGCGCCCCAGCAGTTTTACTATTTTAACATATACGCATTTTATGGTAGAAACTGTATGGTGGAAACTGGTATGGTATAGTATTGGTATGGTAGAAATTTTAATGCTAACAGGGCATTCCCAACTGTCTCTCAGGAAATGTCTAGGATCTACTCTATTTCTAAAACAACAGAAACTGTTAAAACAGAGTATAATAATTTCATTCACAACTAAAAATCATAGCACCGTATCAAGCAAGGTCTAGAAATTAAAAAAAAAAAAAAAAGTATCTACGTAATGGGATTCTACCAGGAATCATTATCACTGAGTCACAGCCTACCTACTATGTTCATTATTCCTACTGGCTGTTAAAAAGACCTTTCCTTTGGTATTAGTCAACAATAACGTAACTGTGTATTTAACTGGGTCAAGAAAAGAGTGGAGACAGGACACAAGACATTTATTATTAGGGTGGGACACTAAAATTAAAAAGCACTACGAACTAAATCAAGGAAATTATAATTTCTAAACTGTAAAACACTACCTCACCGTATACTTTAAACATGGGAATATATACATGATACTTAGTAAAAGTAGTAAGATACAAATCAGGTTGTATAATATAATGTTAATTTGTAAAAATAAAATGTACTATATATATTACTATATAAATTTACTATAAGGTCATCTACTAAAATATTGATAGAAGTTACCTTTGGTTGGTAGGATTTCAGAATTTTTTGCTCACCTAGATTTTTTTTTTTTTTAAAGGTTCCTGCTGAGGAAGATCAGTATTTTTTTTTTTAAGATTTTATTTATTTATTTGACAGACAGAGATCACAAGTGGGCAGAGAGGCAGGCAGAGAGAGAGGAAGGGAAGCAGGCTTCCTGCTAAGCAGAGAGCCTGATGTGGGGCTCGATTCCAGGACCCCGGGATCATGACCTGAGCTGAAGGCAGAGGCTTTAACCCACTGAGCCACCCAGGTGCCCCGGCTCACCTAGATTTTTAAAATTTCTACTACCAATGTGTCCTGGTTTTTAGCCAAAAAAAAAAAAAAAACAAAAACAAAAAAAAAACTTTTAAAAATTATTTAAAGCTACTTCTTAGTGTTAGAAGCCCAAACCTATTAACATTTTAGGAAAAAATATTTAGAATTCCTTAATATATTCACATAAAAGTTTAGTTTCATTTATATCTGTTATCATTTCATAGATCTGGATTGTCGCAAAACAAGTTTGGTGTTTTTCGTTTTTCTGGGGGTTGTTTTTGTTTTTTGGAGAGGGCAGTTCTGAGTTCAGCAAAACATTTCCTAGTCTCCTCTGAAGCCAGGTGATAGTGACCAGGGACAGTCATATCATACAATTCTGGCCCCTAGATATAAGTAGATGTTGCTGGTGGGGCATCTGAATAAGCTTGTTGCATGAGACTCCCTAACTTCAGCAGTGGCTTGAGAAGCTAAAGGGCTTAAATAAAACAGTCTACAGTCTAATGATGCTGGGATATAAAAATTGGAGTCCAGGGCCCACCAAGGTAGAGTGCCACTGGCAAAAAGGCAGGCTTTCTGCTGGAATCTCTGAAAGACTATGCCTAAGGAGTAAGGGTGAACAACACTGACCAGCCTTTACAAAGACCAAAATTGGCCTAAAATCAGCTGAATCTCTAACTAGATTGAGGTGATCACCTGTAGATAGTAAGTAAATCTTCTCTGAAGGAAAAAAAGACCTTGTTATCCACAGCTTCAAATTATCTCTAAAATATTTCGTATTTTTAAATGTCTAGCATTCCATCAAAATTTATGAAGCATGACATATAAGACCATACACCAAAAAACAAAAATGAAAACAAAAACCAACAAAAAGCAGGAGATGCAGATGCTGGAGTTAACTGACAAGAGGTAGTTAAAATAGATGCTTACATTTTTTTAAGGCAGACAACAAAATGAAAAACCCAGCAAAAAATCTGATGAAGTGTATCGAATGAAAAGTTTAGAACTGGGCAACAAAATAACCAAAATGAAGATGTATTTAACAATGAATGAGCCATAGCCAAAATAAGAATTGGTGAAATGGGAGATTAGTCAGTGGCAAATATCCACAAAGAAGCACAGATAGGAAGAGAGCATAAAAGACATAAGAAACATAGGAAAATGGTCTATTATTCATGTAACAGGAGTCTCAGAAGACGAGACAGAAAAAATAGGGAAGGAAAAAAAATATATAGAAATAATTGCCCGGAATTTTCCAAAACCAAAGAAAGACATCAAGGTAGAGATTTAAGAGCCCCTAGGAACACCCACAGGAAAAAACATTAAGAAAACCATATGTAGGCAGAGCATAGTAAAACTAGTAAAAGCAAAAGATCAAAAGAAAATCTTAAAAGCAACTAGAGAAAAAGGAGACATTAGCTATAACGAAGCAACTACAAGATTCTGACAAGAACTATGTTTGAAAATAAACATGCAATGTGATTTGGTCCACAACTGCTTTCTTTTTTTAAATTAACATACAATGTATTGTTTGTTTCAGGGGTACAGGTCTGTGAGTCAACAGTTTTACACAATTCACAGCACTCACCACAGCAACACACCCTCCCCAACATCCATCACCCCACAACTGCTTTCTTATTATCCAATCTCCTAAGGGAGGTTCAATGATAAAACAGTGTAACTTTCTTATATGTCAGGAAATATTGGAAGACCAAATACTTGGCACTGTATTCTATATGTTTTATTTAAAGTAAACCAAATTTTTGGGAACTATTATACTACATGCCTTTTATAGCAATGACTACATTAGGTTGATACATGCAATTATATCACATTAATTTATACTAGAACAGCATATTTAGGAACTTATATTACTCTGGCACTGTCTGAAGGTTTCATAATATGCTAGCTTTACTTCAAATACTTTTATAAAAGTTCACACAGAAAAATCTGTGATCATTTTAATGGTACCATACAGAAGATATCATACGAATTTCTGCATACAGTTTGGGAAACTCAGGTGTATTATAGGCATCTGGGCAAAACCCAATGCACACACTTTGGTCTAGGCTTTTTTTTTTTTTAAGTTTTTATCACAAAACACTGAATTATAACAATCATTCCACATAAAAGAACTCAGTATTATTTC